TTAAATTAATGACTGAGGTGTGGTGTCTAAACAAGTCATCTTTAAATAACTGACTGAGGTGTGCGTCTAAACAAGTCATCTTTAAATAACTGACTGAGGTGTGTGTCTAAACAAGTCATCTTTAAATAACTGACTGAGGTGTGTGTCTAAACAAGTCATCTTTAAATAACTGACTGAGGTGTGTGTCTAAACAAGTCATCTTTAAATAACTGACTGAGGTGTGTGTCTAAACAAGTCATCTTTAAATAACTGACTGAGGTGTGTGTGTCACACACAACGTAATATTACCGTAATTGGTATAGTACAGGTGTGATTGTTCAAATACCAAAATGGCAACAGTAACAGAAAGACTTCCCTGGCGGCGATGATAAAATACGAACACGGAGCCAACAGATGAGGTTTCAACTGGTACTGGTATTATTATACTCTGCAAACATCAAGTACAATAACGCGGTAAAACTCCACTACTCCAATAACTAGATACTTAAACTCCAATACAATTCAACGAGATCTCCGATCTGAACTCAGTGCTGAACAACTCCCCTATATATACCCACACTGTCTATAAATAGACCATTACATCAGCATACATAATGAGTCTGGAACTTACTACCGATTTCTAGAATGTTCCATTACCTTCTATTGCCTACTACAGTGTTCTATTACCTATTCAACCAGTTTCTAAACAAAATCTAGAATATTCCACCCAGACACAGTACGGTTCTAGAACATTCTCAGTGACACGGAAGTGGTACATAAGTCGTATGCAACAGTGTGTCTAAACAAGTCATCTTTAAATAACTGACTGAGGTGTGCGTCTAAACAAGTCATCTTTAAATAACTGACTGAAGTGTGTGTCTAAATACAATATATTCGCTTCTCATAGAGCATGACATTTTATTTCATCTTATTTTCATCTTATTTTCATCTTATTTTCATCTTATTTTCATTTCATCTTATTTTCATCTTATTTCATTTTATTTTATTTCATTTTATTTGACATACATGACATTTTATTTCATCTTGTTATCTATACTGTCATTCGTGTCAACATTACATTTTCATTCTTGTGTGATTTGCCCTAATTTTGTTGTGATAACACTAATTCAATAGTCTCTGTTCAGATGAAGTCCGAAAACAGGGACTGCTGTTTTGACTGCTGTGCGATTGGCGATTTGCATCTTATATGGAAATACGTTTCAAGATCAGATTAAAGCAGGCGAATGTCAGCTGGCACTAGTTTGGTGAACCATCCCCACCACCTGTTGGTGAACCATCCCCACCACCTATTGGTGAACCATCCCGACCTCCTGTTGGTAAATCATCTCTGACCACCTGTTGGTGAACCATTCCTGACCACCTGTTGGCGAACCATCTCCGACCACCTGTTGGCGAACCATTCCGACCACCTGTTGGTGAACCATCTCTGACCACCTGTTGGTGAACCATCTCTGACCACCTGTTGGCGAACCATCTCCGACCACCTGTTGGCGAACCATTCCGACCACCTGTTGGTGAACCATCTCCGACCGCCTGTTGGTGAACCATTCCTGACCACCTGTTGGTGAACCATCTCTGACCACCTGTTGGTGAACCATGCCGACCACCTGTTGGTGAACCATTCCGACCACATGTTGGTGAACCATTCCGACCACATGTTGGTGAACCATTCCTGACCACCTGTTGGCGAACCATCTCCGACCACCTGTTAGCGAACCAATCTCCGACCGCCTGTTGGTGAACCATCTCCGACCACCTGTTGGTGAACCATTCCGACCACTTGTTGGTTAACCATCCCGACCACCTGTTGGTGAACCATCCCCGACCACTTGTTGGTTAACCATCTCTGACCACTTGTTGGTTAACCATCCCGACCACCTGTTGGTGAACCATCCCCGACCACTTGTTGGTTAACCATCTCCGACCGCCTGTTGGTGAACCATTCCTGACCACCTGTTGGTTAACCATCTCTGACCACCTGTTGGTGAACCATTCCGACCACCTGTTGGTGAACCATCTCTGACCACCTGTTGGTGAACCATTCCGA